CCCTCTGTTTATTCTATTCTCTCTCTCCCTTCACCCTGTCCCTCCTGAAAAGTGTTTTGCTTCTGACTACCCCTCCCCTAATCTGCCCTCCCTTCTATCACAGCCCCCCTTCTCTTATCCCCATTCCCTCTTACTTTTCTGTAGGGTAAGATGGATTTCTATACCCAAATGAGTGTGTGTTATTTCTTCTTTGAGCCAATTCTAATGAGAGTAAGGTTCATTCCTTCCTCTTCCCCTCCACTGTAAAAGCTTTTTTTTACCTCTTTTATGTGAGATAATTTGTCACATTCTACCTTTCCCTTTCCCTTTCTCCCTTTGTATTCCTCTCTTACCCCTTAATTTTATTTTTTTAGATAATATTCCTTCATATTCAACTCACATTTATGACCTCACTCCTTCTTACTGTCCCAATAATGAGAAAGTGCTTATGAGTTACAAGTAGTATCTTCCCATGTAGGATTGTAAAAAGTTTAACCTTATTAAGTCCCTTATGATTTCCCTTTCCTGTTTACCTTTTTATGCTTCTCTTGAGTCTTGTATTTGAAAGTTAGATTTTCTATTCAGCTCTGGTCTTTTCATCAAGAATGCTTGAAAGTCCTCTGTTTCATTGAATGTCCATTTTTTCTCCTTAAGTATTATACTCAGTTTTTCTGGGTGGGTGATTCTTGGTTGTAATTCTAGCTCCTTTGCCCTCTGGAGTATCTTATTCAAGCCCTCTGATCCTTTAATGTAGAAGCTGCTAGATCTTATGTTATCCTGACTCTAGGATACTTGAATTATTTCTTTCTGGTTGCTTGTAATATTTTCTCCTTGACTTGGGAGCTCTGGAATTTGGGTATAATATTCCTGGGAGTTTTCATTGTGGGATTTCTTTCAGGAGGTGATCAGTGGCTTCTTTCAATTTCTATTTTATCCTCTGGTTCTAGAATATCAGGGCAGTTTTCCTTGATAATTTCTTGAAAGATGATGTCTAGGGTCTTTTTTTTTTTTTTTTGATCATGGCTTTCAGGTAGTCCAATAATTTTAAAATTATTTGTCTTGGATCTATTTTCCAATTCAGTTGCTTTTCCAGTGAGATGTTTCACATTGTATTGTATTTTTTGATTCTTTTGGTTTTGTTTTATTGTTTCTTGATTTCTCATAAAGTCACTAGCTTCCATTTACTCAATTCTGATTTTTATAGAATTATTTTCTTCAGTGAACTTTTGTACCTCCTTTTCCATTTGACCATTTCTGTTTTTTAAGGCATTATTCTCCTCATTGGTTTTTTGTACCTCCTTTACCATTTGGCCTAGTCTGTTTTTTAATGTGTTATTTCCTTCAGCATTTTTTTGTGTCTTCTTTATCAAACTGTTGGCTTTTTTTCATGATTTTCTTGCATCACTCTCTTTTCTCTTCTCAATTTTTCCTCTGTTTTCCTTACTTGATTTTCAAAATCCTTTTTGAGCTCTTCCATGGCCTGAGATCAATTCATATTTTTCTTGGAGGCTTTGGATGTAGGAGCTTTGATTTTGTTATCTTCTTTTGAGTGTGTTTTGATCTTCCTTGTCACCATAGTAACTTCCTATGGTCAGAATTTTTTTCTGTTGTTTGCTTATTTTTCCAGACTACTTCTTGACTTTTAACCCTTTGTTAAAGTGGGGCTCTGTTTCCAGGGTGGAGGGTGCACTGTCCCGAGCTTCAGGGTTTTTGTACAGCTGTTTTCAGAGATACTTCTAGGAACCTGTAGGTTTTCAGATCTTCCAAGGTAGTATGATCTAAGGAGAGGTGTTTACTTCTCTCCTGGCCTGTGCTCAGGTCTGTGAGTGACCACAAGCACTCTTCTCTGCCCTGAAAATGTGATAAGGGTCCCTGTTCCACTGCAGCCCATGAGCTCTGGTGTGCTAGTGCTTCTCCTTGCCCTGGGACTGCCACATAGGCTCACTCCCCAGATCCGAGTATGGACAAAGCAACAGAGTCCTGCCTGCAGTGCTAGCAAAGAGACCCCTATAATCTCCTTCTGATCACTTTTTCAACCCCCTTACCGTCTGTGGGCTGAGAGCTCTGGAAGCAGCCACTGCTGCTGCAGATTCAGTGGCTCCCAAGGCCTGCTCCTGGTTTGCTGAGGTCTGGTCTGTGCTGGTGCCACCTGCGCTGGACTGTGCTCCACTCTCACCCTGGTATGACAGATGTTTCCTGCTGACCTTCTAAGTTGTCTTTGGCTGGAAACTTGCTTCGCCCTGTCCTTTTGTGGGTTCTGCTAATCCAGGAATTGTTTTATGGCATTATTCAAAGGTGTTCAGAGGGGTTTTGGGGAGAGCTCAGGAGAGTCACTGTTTTTTCTCTGCCATCTTGGCTCTGTCTCGGCGCAAGGGATTCTAAGAGGCCAGACTTGGGAGGGAGTACATTCTAGGTATGTGGGGTATGGCCTATGCACAGGCATGGAGACAGAAGGTGGAATATTGTATATGCGAGACAGGTAAGCCAGATCAACTGGACCATAGACCCTGTTATGGTCCATCAAGGTAGGTTGAGCCAGAGAGGGAATTTTAAAAGTCCAGAGTTACCTATAGGATAAAATACAAATTCTCAACCTTGAATTCTGTTTTGGAAATGTTGGTTAAAGGCCTAACCTGGCTCTTCCCAGCCATATTACCTCCTTTGGGTACTCTAGGTTCCAAGGCACAGGGTAGCAGACAGGGTCAATGAGGTACAGTGAAAAGAGAACTGGATTTGGAGTTAAAGACCCTGGCTTCAAATTCTGCCTCTGCAGCTTATTTACCTGTATAAGGAAAGAAGAGAATGGAGCATTTATTAAGTACGTATGATGGGCCAGACACTGTACCAAACCATTTACAAATATCTCTTTTGTAAATATATAAAATATATAAATATCCTTTGATCAAATATTTACAGATATTTTCTTGTTTGATCTGAGTCTGTTTCCTTATCCATAAAATGAGAGGGTCAGACTACATGACTTCTGAGGTCTTTTCCATTTCCAAATCAATGAGTTAGTGATTCATTTCTCTTTTATTGACTGCCCTATTGACAGTCTTAGTGACTACAAGTTTCTCATCTGCCCATTCTGCCAGAGGACATGTTTTTGCCACGGGACTTTGATGAATCTGGAAGAGAGAATGGGGCTGATGACTTTGTGTGACACTGCCTCCTTTAAATCCATTTCAAGCACAAGTCAAGATATCACTGTGATGTCATTGATCCTCTTTAAAAACAAAGGATGAATATGTGGGCCTGACATCCACATGTAGAAAGGTATGGTCATTCTTTGGACCCTGGTACAATCACTTCAACAAACACTTACAAAGCATAGGTCACTGTACTAGGCACTGGTCTTACAAAGATAATAGATACCTTCAAGGAACTTGTGTCTTACTGGGATATATAGTAATTGTTGCCTTTGAAGAGAATCTGGAAAGATCTCTCCCATGAAATCTTCCTTGACTGCTACAATGTGAAGTGATCTCTCTTGCTTTTGACCTCTTAAAATAATTATCTGTATCTCATTTAACATTAGTTATATGCTTCCTTGTGATATCTCTTTGATTGTCTTGAACTGTTATTTAAATTTTATATTATTTGTTTCATGAGTAACTAGGTGGTACAGTAGAGTGTTGGGCCTGGAGTGAAGAAGACTTATCTTCCTGAATTCAAATCTGACCTCAGAAAATAACTAGCTATATGACCTGAGGCAAGTCACTTAACTCTGTTTGCTTCAGTTTCCTTATCTGTAAAATGAGCTGGAGAAGGAAATGGCAAACCACTCCAGTATCTTTGCCAAGAATACCCCAAATGGGATCATGAAGAGTCAGATACAACTGAAACGACTGAACAAAATTATTTGTTTCATGGGTTGTGATCCTTTCTTCCCTTTTCCTTCTACCCCACAGATTGTAAGCTCCTAGGGGGCAAGAACTGAGTCTTACATTTCTTTTTATCCTCCATAACTCTCAGCATAATGTCTTGTGCATAGTAGATATTCAATATATGTTTTTGGATTTGATTTACTTTGTACAAAGCACTTCTAGTACCCCATAATCTTCTAGTGATCTCTTATGTTCTGTGTTTATATGTATGCTGACTTGTCTATTAGCTCTTCAAGAACAAGATATATTTATAAAGCTTTCAGAACTTTAGTTGGTCAGGGTGATGGATACAGATACATAGTGCGAGAATCAAATAAACATAGCCAACCCTACTAGTAAACAGAATAAAAATCAGTATGGTATAATAAAGGGGAGATGAAAAACTCCTTGCCCCCAAATAACTCCCTACCTGGCCTGCCACTAACTTAGTGCTTAAAATTTCTACCATTGGGTTCATTCCTTTGGTTACCAGATAGTCCTGTTATATATAAAATGGATAACTAGTTAGCTCATTAGTAAATTAGGAGTGATTAGTTTATTAGATTAGCTAGTTGTCAACTTGGGCTCTTGGCAGCTAAGTTTTAATATAGGAAATCTGAATATGAGACTACCTAAGGGACCAGTTGTAGATCAGATATTGTAGAAGGAGATTATGAGCATCCAGGGATTAGGAGGGAAGATCCAGGGTTCCTAGAAAGACAGGGAACCAAAGGAAGTATGGAAGGGCCTCATGAAGTATCTTCATAATTTTGTTTTTGAGATTGAGTGCTATTGCTGCCTAGACCTCTAGTCATAGCACAGGGAAATATGTCATAAGGTCATAGATTTAGACCTAGAATTCCAGCCCCCTTCATTTTACTTGAAGAAACTGAGGCCCAGAGAATTTAAGGCACTTGGCCAAGGTCAAACAGATAGCAAGTAGCTGACCTTGGATTTGGATTGTAGTCCTTTGATACTAATGCCTGGCACACAGGAGGTGCTTAATAAATGCTTGTTGACTGACTGACTGACTGACTAGACTTCAGAACTCTTTCCCCTATGACAACATGGGAAAGTATGTTGGGGCAAGGGAAAGCAGAGAGAATGTCACAAGCCTATATTCCGTGGTGTTGATCTCAGCTCATCTCCTGACAGGTACACCGTCGCTCAGCTGAGCGCCTCCGAGAACTCTGCTGTGCGAACAGAGGCACCTTCATCAAAGTGGGCCAGCACCTAGGGGCCCTGGATTACCTGCTCCCTGAGGAATACACAAGTACCTTGAAGGTCCTGCACAGCCAGGCCCCACAAAGCAGCATGCAAGAGATCCAGCAGGTGATTCGAGAGGACCTGGGCAAAGAGGTATGGACTGGGTGCTTGTGGGAGAAACAGGAGTAGGGTAGGGGTGGGAGACTAGTGGGAAATTACAGCATACCCCTTGTGGTAACTGGCTTTCTGAAAAGGGGCTCCCTCACAAAGAGGCACAATATTAGATGTCATAGTAGGAAGAATGATGGATTTATAGTCAGAAGATATGGTTTTGAATCCTGGCTCTGCTTTTTAGTAGCTACAAGTTGCTTAGTTTCTTTGTGCCTCAATTTCGTCATCTGTAAAATGGATATAAATATCCTACAGGGCTGTTGGAGGATCAAATAAGATAATGAATCCAGAGCACTTTGTAAACCATAAAGCACTATCTACACATGACCTGCAGTTATATGTTCTTTGGCCTATTATTAATTTGAGTGTAGCTTTCAGTACTGAGATAGGGTACTTAAGTTGAGTGGCTGGCTAGGCTATGTGGATTTCTCTAGTTTTCCGTTACTTCTGGTCAGGGCTACTTGGATGTGGTATTATTTGAGAGACTAAAAGAAGACTCCTTACCATTCCAAAATCTCTCCTCACTCTTTACCCACCTGAAATTCTACCATTAGATATTCATTCCTATGTGTCTTAGAGGCTTTCTTTAAGAATAAGACTGCTGCCCCAAGGTTTTGCCTCAGGAAAGTATATAACAGTCATGGGGTCCAGAGGGCCCTTTTCCTCCTTCTGTAGCTTGGAAACTTTGTGCTATTCCAATATGTACCTCTTTACCCCAGCAGCTTGCCCTCGGTGAGCTTCTCCTTGTCCCACTTACCCCAGGGATAGAAATTGCCAATTATGGCTCTGCAGATATCCCTAAGAGAGGTGATACCTTAAGCTATTTTCAATTAATACCTTAATTATTATTAGCTGGGGCAGCTAGGTGGTACAATGGATACAGTGCCAGGTATGGTGTCAGGAAGACTTTTCTTCCTGAGTTCAAATCTGGCCTCAGAGACTTAGTAGCAGGGTGATCCAGGGCAAGTCACTTAACCCTGTTTGCCTCAGTTCCCTCATCTGTAAAATGAACTGGAGAAGGAAATAGCAAACCACTTCGGTATCTTTGTCAAGAAACCCCCCCCCCATAAAAAGGGTCCCAAAGAGTCAGAGATGACTGAAAAACCATGAAACAACAACAATTTTTAGCTGAGATTTAGCTAAGAACAAGATGGGGTAGAAAAGGGAATGAAAAGAAGGGGCCAAAAGTAAATGAGGAAGGAGGACCAAAGATAAGCATCTCTGACTTCGTGATTCTGTCTGAGACCAGTGTTAGCTCCCCAAGTCAACACAAAGCTGGTGCTGGGCCAACAGTCTTTGAGACAAAGATATCTGTAAGTATGATGACTTTGTGGCCTGGAGAAATTTGGGGTATGTGAGACAGTCAGACTTGTTGATTCTGAAACTTGAGGGACCCGAAACACAAGAGGTAAGTTTGATTGGCTTTCTGACCTTCTGTTCCTAAGGCATGTGTGCCTAAGCTTTGGTGATTTGGGAGAGAGTGAGAAAGGAGAGAAGAGACGTGGATGTAGGTCAGGAAGATGGGGGTCAGGGACAAGGGGTCACAGGCAGAGGGGAGGGGGTTGGCACGGCGCCTACCCACGAACTGCTCTGCCTCCTGCCAAGCCTGTCAGCCTTCTGTTTCCAGCAGAACCAATTTCACCCCCAAATTAAAACTAAATAAATCACTTTAATAACAGTGTAAATTGTGTCTCTGCTCGCATGTGGCAGCACAGTAGGGGTGGGTGTGAGGGAGAGGGAAAGAAGGGAAAAAAGAGATTAACCCTTTCACACTAGTCCCTGCTGCTTTGTTTGCAGAAGAGGGGCCATGAGAAACAGGGAGGAAGGCATTTGAAAATACAGGATTCCTTCAGACTAGGCAAAGATGCAACCAGCATCTCTGAGTGCCTGCAGACAGGACTGGTCAGAGGGGAAATCAGGCCTCTTCTCCAGCTGGGCTGTGCTTCCCTAGCTCTCGTCGTACACGGGAATTTGACATTGCAAAAGGACACTGAAACCAGGCTGTATCTTTAGGGACGCCTTGTCTTCATTATCCCAATCCCCTCCTTTGCCCAGGTAGCGTTCACAGGCATCCTGCCTCAGGAGATATCCAAAGTCCATCTCAGACCTGGGAGGGGATGGTGGTCTCTTCAGAAGTCCTTAAGACTCCCCCTTACTCTGGTTCTAGGGATCTCAGAAACTCCTGACTCCCCCCTCCTGGGCCCCACCTTCTCCCACTTACATCTTTCCCTCTTCTCTGTCTCCCCAAAGATGTTTTTTTCTCCTCCACCCTAGGGAGATGACATTTGTTTCCCGCTGACACACTTTGCCTGGGTGGGTTGGATTGGGTGACATTTTCTTAGTCTGTGGGTGGAGGGGAGGTGAAAGGGGCTATGTGGGAAGCAGGGTAGGTGAATATGGGGGTGTCAGGGCGGGGGACAAAGATGTTTGTGTCTCCACCTCCCTCCTCCAACAGTTCTCTGGCAGCCCTGCCTTTCTGGTGAATATTTCCCATCATTAAGAACACATTCAGAATACCCCCCAATAATAAATTTCATACCTATATTAAACTGGTATGGGTGTCTATAGAAAGAAATTGATCTGGTAACAGGGAGCAGTGGGGCACAGTGGAACAGGTTCTAGGCTGAGAGTTAGGAAGACATAGGTTCAAATATCCTACCTCAAACACTTAGCTCTATGACCCAGGGCAAGGCACTTAACTGCTCTGCCTCAGTTTCCTCATCTGTAAAATGAAGGGGTTGGACTCGGTGGTCTTTAAAAGTTCCTTCCAACTTTAAAGCTATGATTTAATTCCTGGTCTTAGGGACCATGTTAGCCATATGGAAGAGGGATCTCATTCTGCTTAAACACAGAATTCAGAAATAGAGCTCATGAGTGGAAGCTATAATGGTGCAGATTCCAGACACAAGAAATAAATCAATACCAGAAAATAATTCCTTACTATTAAAATTCTCCAAAAATAAAATGGGCTGGCTTGATTCATCAGCTTTTAGATTTAGAATTGGAAGGGACCTTAGAGGCTATAGAGTCCAACTTTCTCATTTTACAGATGAGGAAACTGAGGCCAGCAGAAACTGAATGATTTGCCCAGGGCTGTACAGTATCAGAGGTTGGTTTCTGAACTCAGGTAGTCCATGACTTCAAGTCACTCCCCAGACAACTCCAGACCAGGCAGCAGCCATTTTGACTTTCTTCCATCTCCCATCAGAATTTGGGATTCCTGCCCCTGGGACTCTGGGAATGCACAGGTGAGCTTTTCTTTTACAATGCCCAGAAACTGGACACCATGCCACTTCCTAGCATTCTCCAAGGTTGCCCTTGGCCACCGCTGCCCTTTCCAACTCTAGCTTCCATATATGTATGGTCTTCCCCTATTTGGAATAGTATCTCTTTGAAGGCAGGACCTCTTACTTGCTTATATTTATGTCCCTAGAGCTTAAAACACTGCTTAACTTAGCACATAGTAAGTATATAACAAATGCTTTTTTCTCCCTCCCTCCCTCCCTCCCTTCCTCCTTTCTCCCTCTTTCCTTTCCTTTCCTCCTTTCTTCCTTCCTTTTCTCCCTCCCTCTCTCCATTCCTTTCCTCCTTCCTTCTCTTCTTCCTTTCCTCCTCCCTCTCTCTTTCTATTCTTTTCTCCTTCCTTCCCTTCCTAGCATTTTTTCTACTTTGGGATGTTACCTCTTAGGAAACAGTGAAATACTGGGTCTTTAAGAAGGGTCTGGATGACTACCTTTTTGGAAGAGTTAAAATGAATTTATGTTTCCCTTAAGGACCTTAATGACCTATAAGATTCCCTTCCAAGTCTTAGATTCTGTAATTCTATATTAGTAGGCTGCAATTTCATGTACATTAAGGAAAGAACTGAAGACTGGCTTGCATTACTGTCCTGTTTATAGAAACAGAGTTGCCCCCTCCCCCCTACTATCTGAAACGGCAAGGTTGGAACAACCTTATTTCAGCTCCCAAACTGTATCCCATGAGTTGACTGTGCCACAGAGTGGGATGCTGACTGGATAGGACCATTTCTACCTGTGCTCTTTTTATTTGATTTGGTTTGTGTTGGCTTAGGGCTGACTCAGGACTTCCCCCAGGATTGTTGTGTTTCCCAGGAAAGTCAAGATTGGCTTCAAGTCACTCCTACTCCCAAAGACCCAAAATAAGTAGGATAGAGACTGAGGCCCTTACCGTCTAGGGAATTGAGGTTTGCAATTTATTAGATTCATTGTGATTCCACTTGGTGCTGTATCATGCTGTACCCTGACTTCTGGTCCCTTGGAAGAATAAACCCCTAGAATGAAGGTGAGGGAAGGAGAAGGTATGTAAAATGGATGCCACCTTGTAGGGTGCTTGAAATCTGAGATTTATAGAGGTTGTATTTGAGGTAAGGGAGGTGGTCTGTTAAGCACTAGAAATCAGAAAACAGGTTTTATATTTGCCTTTGTCAACTACCTGATAACATCTTTGGGCCTCCCAGAAAATGAGAAAGTTGGACAAGATGATATTTAAAATCTCTTCAAGTTTTAACATCCTGAGTCCCTTGGGCTGCCTCTGACAAAAACAATTGCCCTGACTCAGCCCCTAGAGAATTTTACCTGAGTACCTTGGATAGTATTAGGCCATTGTTCTGTCCCAAAGCAATGGACCCAGGCCCATTGCCTATTCCACTACCCCAGGATTAGGCATTTCCTAATCCTGACAAGGAGCAATTCTTTCTTCTAGTTTCTTCTACTCTGGTCAGTTCTTAGAACATTTCCACTTCTGTGCTTTGCCTTCACACATGTTGTTTCCCCTGCCTGGGATGTACGTCTTCCTCTTCTCTGTCAAAATCCCACCTATTCTTCAAGGCCCAGCTGAAACCCCACTTGCTACAGGAAGCCTGCCCTGAACACTGCAGACTTTCTTGATTTCATAGGTTGAAGGCACTGTGGAGCACCTTTTGTCCTGCCTCTGGACTTTAATGATTCTGGAAGTGACGGTGA